TCAGCGGCAAAAGCGCCTGCCTGGCAAGCGCAAGGTCGTGAGTTCGGTTCCCGGTACCGGAGAAAAACCAAAAAAAAAAAAAAAAAAAGAAAAGTATCGATGACCTCCATCAAAAATTGGACTTACTACTAACCAAAATAAAAATACACTTGTACACACTGCAAAAGAGAAGTTAAAACATTAAATATTACTCTTTATTTAAATGTTTATAAGGCAGATCTATGAGAAAGATACAAAAACACGGCATGTAATTTGACAGCAGTATTTTGGAGATTACACGGTTTTAGCAAATATGAATTACAGACTTCCAAAGGAAACAATATTTTTCTCCAAGCGAGTACAAAATATTTAATGAACGTTCAAGGCAAGAAGATGAATACAATTAATTAACAATGGAAAATCGCTTTTGATATGGATTGCATATTATCCTTAAAAGCTTTTAAAATAATTATTGCTGTCTATCATATAAACTGTGTTAAAGGAATCACGACAAAGAACTGGAGACCAGAAAGGATTATTGACCGTGTAACAGAGGGACCACTTAGAATGGCTTCAGTGTGGCGCAGAGCCGGGGAGGTGAGGGAGCCATGGAAATCTCCCCAGTAGCCTCTCATTTTCCTTCCACAGGGTGTGGCTTTGACCCTTCGGGGCAGGTGTCACAGCTCTTGCGACATCTCAACCCGCAGCAAGACAGAGGACAATAAGTGACACACTGGTTTCCATGGAGGACACTTGGCCTCACTGGCCAGCATCATGCACGGGGGGAGTTAATGCAGGAGCAGCTGAAGATAGGAGGGACAGCAGCGTTGACAGAGAAGGGTAAACGGACGCTAAGGGACAGCGTCCGTCTCTGCGTGTGCTGGGCATCTGTAAAGCTATGAAAAACTTTTACAGAAAAATCTCAGAGCGAAAACTTCCTTGCAGCTGGCAGTTTAGAAATCATACATGTGGTGGTAAAAATATATGGTGAACGCTTAAATTTAAAAAAAATTACTACAGTAAAGGATACATTGCCATTAATCTCGCACAAAGTACTCCTTTTACAAAGTAATTTCAATACAACATGTTAGGCTTTTTAAATACTTAAAGGAGGATTTTACACACTGATGCAGGTATGATTAGTTCAGTGAATACAACATTCTCAACAAAACACTTATGAATTACACCATGGTATTTTATCTAAAATACCACCTAAGAGATCTTAAATTTCATAAATAACCTTCTTTTTGGGGAGGACTGTACAGAATTATTAAATAGTTTAATGGCAAAAGGCAAAACAAAATGGCATTTTATCATTATATAGGAGATGTCTAATACAAAAATTGGATATATTCTTGAAGCCCTTTTACATAAATAATTTTCATAATTTGACTATTATAAGTACGAATAGACCTTGCTATTATTATGTTAATTTTGAAAATATGATTCTTTAGTCAACTCAAGGCAATGCTAATTTATAAGAGATTAACCAGGTAGTTTAACACTAGAACTCATTAGATACTCTGTAGCACAAAATAATTATCTCTGACAGATACCTACAAATATAATTTATTCACACTTCTAAATATTTTAAAATTTAAATAAAAATATCACATGTAGATTATCTGAGCTAAGTTTTCATGAATGTCTTAAAAATAAATGTTAGCATGAATATATTTATCTCGAAATGTGATTTTAAATATTCTTCATAGAGGAGACATATGAAATTAGTACACAAAAGCTAAGTAGCATGATACAGCTTATGGTTATTTTCCTTACAGGAAAAACATACTATACTTGATTTTCTTTGCATAGGATTAATACTGGGTATGTTTTCTACAGTCTTGCAACTTCTCAGAGACACTTCTTAAAACATTGCTCAGGGAACAAATCTCCCCACTTAAAGTTCTGCCTGCAACTTCCTCACATGTGGCAATAGCCAAATTCAATCCTACTTCTGAGGCCAGTAAGATGATTTAAAAAGTGATGGTTATAAAAAAACAATGGAAAATAATCCCAGAAAAAGTAAAACAAAGTGACTAAAAGATAATCATAGATTTGCACTCTTAGAAAGGCTTTTAAGCATTTAGAATTACAAAGAGTACACTGATTCTCAAAGGAAATATTGCCATTTGAAATAACATTTGCATCTTTTACATATTTTCATGAAGGCTTGCTTTTTCATAGGCCCCATTTATTCACAATAATGATAATTTTACGTATTTTATTGGTTACTTATTACATGCATGTGACCATAATTTTTGATAGTCATCTAACTTTTAGAAATATTACACTGTATTTTCACATTAAATAGTTAAAGTACAGTCTTAAGAGAACGAAATTAAAGGATCAAATATTGAAAACACACTATTATTTTCGCTAATCCTTGATAACAGCACATTTAGGTATTTACTCTTAAAGGTTATTGCCCAACTGAAACTAAGAAGTGATTATTGAGAGGGCAGAGATTCAATTAACATTGCATTAAATGGATGGCTCAATTAGAAAGTAGAAGATATTAAAATTTACCACCAAGAGAACATGAAAGAATTATGAATGATTTACTGGAAAGATACTGCAGCAGTAGAGAAAGAGCCACCGGCAGAAAGGTGGACTCTACTAAATAAAAGTCCTACTTTTGGCAGCTGGATTTAAGTTAGTGAAATGGTATAATTTGAGGAAGAGAGCTGCACATAATTCATTGTATCTTGTTTGCAACTTTCTATTCTACTAAGGAGCAAATGGGAAAAAATTACAAGGTTTGAATGAAATGAAGTTTACATGTGGAATGTAAGAGCTGAGAAATTTTATGAATGGTCTATAACGCTTATATGTCTTTACAGTAAATTTCTAATTAACCACTTACCCTAACATCTTTTATGCTTATAAACTGCCCCCTAATGAATGGCTGTGCAGGCTGGAGGGCTTCTCAGGAACAGAAAAGGAGATGACTGAGTTTAGTATGTGTGCTGCCAAGCCAGCACAGATGACTGATTTTATTAAAGATCTGCAGCGTCTCAGCGATTTGTTAACACTGCCATTTCTGCCTGAATTCTTCATTGGACAGGAAGACGAATAGACTGTCAAGGAGTCTGGGCTTATGTTCAGAAGTAATCATGGCTTACCACCAAGCAATAATAAATTTCTTACTAGGATATTTCATACATATTTTGATGCACATAGCCTGCTCTAAATAATGTCAGTACCTTTGTACAAAAGAAGCCTGCAGATCGGCATCATGGACAGATCGCATGGGGATGGAGCAGGGGCTGTATAGCCTCTGAAAATCAGGGCTTCCAGATGTGATGCCTCTACTTGAAAGCTCCCTCTGCCTCTGACTGAGTAACCGCAGAGCAGTTACTCTTCTACCCTTCAGTTCTTCTCATGTAAAATGAGGATAACTCTCTGTCTCAAGGAATTTAAGCATCATAAGGGCAAGGCTAGGGATGTAGCTCAGTCGCGCAGTGCCTGCCTGGCAAGTGTGAGGTTCTGAGTTCGATTCCCAGTACCCCCCACCTAGCTCCGCAAAAAAGTATTACAAGGGCAAACACAAGTAAAATGCTTAGAACCACGCCTGGCACAACTGAATATCAGTAAAATCCTCACCACAGAGAGTGATACAACAACAAAGATCAGCTATCAAATAACCGTGTACGTAAACTCGACACTTTGCTCTAAGAATTATACCATTCCCAGCACCGGTACTGTATTAAAGATATCAGTTTTGGAGGCCAAATATTCCCAAGTCCTTTCTCTGCTGAACATACTAATGGGAAAACGATACTGCTCTGTAACATGATAAAGAGTAAGCTCTCTCTGAGCTGTCCATTGCATATAGTTTATGTCTCTGATGCATTTTAAATGTAACTTCAGGTTTATCTTTTTAAATTTGTGTTTGTTCATATAACCGCATTGCTTCGTAAAATTTATAACATTCTTCAAACCCTAACATATAAGAGGAGTACAGGAATGTTTACCATGCTCCTTTACATAGATGTTAATGCAAGGTGACCTTTTTAAATAAGGTATGATTATGCATTTCTATTTCTTAATTTGAGTAATAATCAAAACCTTGCTGGGGGCTGGGAATATAGCTCAGTGGCACAAGCACCTGCCTGGCAAGTGTAAGGTCCTGAGTTCTATTCTCAGTACCAAAAAATGAAAACAACAAAAAAAACCTTGCTGATGCTTCATAGAAAGTAAAGTATACTCATTAAAATATATTGAAAGCTTGAACTTCTGGTTTGTGAAGTGTTTTTCACATTTTGTTACATCTAGATGATTAACTGTAAATATTTTTGCTTGGTTATAAAATACAGGAAAATAACAATAATGTTAAGTTGTGCAAAACAAAATGAAATATACTTAAATTTCAATAATACATTGAATACAAAAATTAAAATTGATAAACTAGGACACCTGTGACAACTTGAAGGAAATTCTGTCACTAATTCAGTTAAAATCCCATTTAACAGGTTTCAAACCATGGTAATTCCACACATAACAACTGAACAAAGAGGAAGCTGTACAAACAATGGCACACACAGAACTTTTCCTGACATCTGTGAGCACCTTCTGTCATCACATTACGGTTACCCTCTCCGGGGAAAGATGAGGAACAGTTCCTCCAATACCTTCTTCAAGAGATTGGCTCTTTTCCCAGCCCTTTTTAATTCTCTTTAGCTTTCTGTTTATACATGGAAGGAGTAAAATGATCTTACCCAGAATTACGACTGAGGGCAAAACAAGAGCGAGCACGAAGTTTGGTGGTGTATAAAATCTGTAGTACTCTTCTTCAAAAGCTCGTTTCCATCCATAAATGAGAACGTGGAAAGTACTGATGAGCAAAGCAACGTACCCAAGAGTAGACTTAGGGCAGGGAAAGAGGAAAAAGAATCAGTAAGAGACAAGTTATTCAAATTCATGAACTAACCTGTTCAAACATAGCATGTTTATACTTTGATATAACTATTTTTTCTTGAATTATTAAGCTACTCTTTGTCTTCTGTTGTATTAAATAATTTTTAGCCACTTCATACATACCATAGCCATTTCATACATACCATATGTACATATACTCACTGTCCACATGCACATCTTACTTTACACAATTAAGGCCATATTGCCATTTCATAGTCTATTTCATTTATTACATCAAGAATATTTTTATGTCATTACAAATGAAGACCTGTTAATACTGCTGTGCATAATTTAGTCATTCCTTTTCTTTTCTTTTTCTGGTACTGGGAATCGAACTCAGGACCTTGCGCTTGCCAGGCAGGTGCTAATGCTGCTGAGCTATACCCCAGCCCTAGTCATTACTGTTTGTTGATCATTTACTTTGTTTCACTCCTCAACTATAGATAGTGTAACCTTAGGCCTTTTTCAGTATTTTGCTTTATTTCCTTTGGATTGATTTCTACTAGTGACATTATTGATCAAAACATCTTGTGTTTTTCTTTTCTTTTTTTTTTTGTGACAGGGTTTCACTACGTAGTGCAGGTTGGCCTTGAATTCACTCATGTAGTCCAGGCTGGCCTTGAACTCATGGCGATCCTCCTGCCTCAGCCTCCCAAGTGCTGAGATTACTGGCATGTGTCACCACACCTGGCCATCTTGTTTTTTCTTAAGCATGTTGATATATAGTTTTAATCTTCTTTATAAAGGTTGCGAACATGCCCACTGATTGTGTATAAAAATTAGGTGCACACATATAAGAGATATATATATTATGAAATGTACACAGGAACACTAACTGCTGAAGAACATTCTCATGAGTATACATATATAGTACATACATATATGCTCACATTAGTAGGAAAATACAAAAAAATATGTAATATTGCTATTCAATATAAATAGTAATTCAAACATGACTTTACTGACATTATTAAATGAGATTATTAAGTACTTAAGCAGTTTATAGATTAAATTCTGAAAGGTCAGCATTCTTCATTTCCATAAATTATTACATTTAAGACAGCTTACTATGAGAAATGGGCTATCTGACATAAAAATATTAAATCAGTATCATGGGACATCTAACTTCATTAGGAAAATATAAATTCTCCAGCAGACAAAATGTTTGCAATTACTCATCTAAATTTATAATGATAATATGCATCTGTCTAGCACCTTTTATCAGATGGCCTTCTATTCTTTTTAAGGTGTGATTACAGTAGGAGTTGGAAAAGAATTCACATTCTCTTTCCTCAGAAAGAAAAAATGAACTTAGAAAAAGGTTATGCCCTTAATTTGAATGAAATTTTTCTCCCATGACTTCCACAAAAGAAAAAGCTCAAAAAAACAGGCAAAGAAGCAAACCAAAGCTTACTGTACCACCAAATTACACAATCCACATATTGTGTTGTAAACCATTTGGATATACAATCAGTGCCAATTTCGTGACCACATGGGAAGAATCTAAATTTGGATTACATAATTTTTTAAATATGCAAATGTATAGAGATACTACTGGAAAAAGGAATGTTTAACTTTTTAAGGAAAACATGGTGTTCTGAAATCCCTTTGTGGACACACTTCTAACTGATATATGAAATACACATACTAACAAGATTCACAAGACTGGTTGCTTGTCACAGTCCATTAACCACTGACATTGCCTGTCATTGTGTACATGTATGTGCACATACCAACATTTCTTTAAAATGTTCAACTTAGCTTCTTTCCCCTTGAACTCAAATTGATGAGAATTTTTTTCCTGGAAAGATCAGATGACTGAACACATAATATTTCATTACTTTTTCTAAAAACAAATTGACTTTAGGCATTAAATTTGATTTAAGCACACTCCTCTCCCACTTTTTTTTCTGTTAGAAAAACCTTCACCCTTACCATAGTAGACATTACTCTTGAAGTCTTCAGGATAATGCCGCACTAGCCCTTCACTTATTCACCAGAATAGTCCTAAGCTGGTCTCTAGCAGTGTGTCCCTTGAGCTAGATGTATAAGCATGGCCCCAAAGGCACCCTTTTGTAAGTACTGTATGTAGCATATTTTTTTTTTTTTTTTTTTTTTTTTTTTTTGGTTTTTCTCTGGTACCGGGAACCGAACTCATAACCTTGCGTTTGCCAGGCAGGCGCTTTGCCGCTGAGCTATATCCCCAGCCCCTCATATGTAGCATATTTAAAATTCAAGCTCACCTAACAACCAAACGTACACTGCCCAAATCCCTTATCAAACAAAACCCCTGTACCTGAATAAAGCTGAATTCCCTCCAGTTTAAAGCATTGTTCACTGAAGGGATGGAAGTGATGGCCAGAAGGGAAAGCAAGCCAAGGCTCATTATGCCAAAGGAGATGTACATTTCAATCCTCCACACCTCCTCCTCGTTCCAAGAGTTTTCAATATTTGCATGAACCTAACAAGAAGACAAACGTCAATCTCCTTTATTTGCTAGAACATTAACCGATTCAGCACAGAATTTACTCTGGCCTAAGAACCAGGTCAGCTGGTTTAAACTTGATTATTCTGAGCCCACTGTAGACTCATTTTTAACCTAGATTCTCGGTAGGAAATTTCTAATGCTACTTTTGGATTTCTTTTCTCACATGTATAATCTGTGTGATTTACCTCCTTCTTACCTTGTCTTCCCTAGAAAGCTGGAATTTTCTGAGGATAAATCACTATGGAACCGATGCATTTATCCACTTGGATTGCTTCATTAATAAACTTTCAAACTCCAGTTTTCTTAGATGTAATATTTTTCCAAATGTCTTCCCATTACATTGATAATGCATATATAAATACATAGTCAAGACAGGCTTACCTCTGAGCTTGTGGTAATTTCTGTAGAACTATACCCTAGAAATATCTACCCATGACAATATAATTACAGTATAAATCAAGGATTGGTCTCCTTCAACTAAAGAGTTGATGTAAGTAATCACGGAGAACACATTCTTCATACCATCTTAGATTTGCCCATTTTCGGTTAACAAAACGTAATTGAAATATTTTAAAAAGCTACTTCTTAACCAATCACACCAACATCCTGAAAGAGCTCACAGAGCTCATCTGTTAAGCAAGTCTCTCCACTGTCTTCTTGTTTTGTGTCTATACAAGAATTCAGAATAACAGCATACCCTGGTACAGCCAGAGACTAAAGCCTGGAGCTACTTTCCCTCCTAGCTCATTCATCCCCCCTGCTAGCACCTAAGAGTTTTCAGTGTCCGCTATGTCCGGCACAACTGCACACACTGGCCACACAGCCGTGAACAACACGAACAAAGATGAACTGAGATTCTGATAGAAGGCAGACAACAGTACAGATGATAAATAAGGAGAATGCAAAGCGCATCATAGTGCTAAAGTGCTATTGAAAACAGAACAAATAGAGCAGGAAAGTGAGAGGGCCTGGGAGCTCTCTGGCTGGTTGTGGGTTGGTGGCAGAATTCAGTGTCCAGTGGACGCCTCGATGAGAAAGCGAGATCTGAGCAAGTGAGTAGAAGGACGTGGGGAAGCCGGGCCAGCAGACCTCAAAAATTTAGTATTAAGTTGTTGGAGACTACTACAAAGCGGCTCTGAGCAAGATTTAATATTAACCAATTGGCTTTCCGTGTTCACCTGTGAACCTGTCCAAGGCCTAGGCTCCTTATCTGGAAATGGCGGACTCATAGTAAGTGAACCTCTACGAGTCACTATCCCTACTAGAATCTGTAGTGGTGGATGAGGTCAGAAAGCCTCAAAGGACAAGACAAGATCACAGCCCAGGGCACCTGGGTCAGACCTCAACTGGATGAAGCCTAGCTGCAGGCATCTCATTCTTCAGTGGATTAACTTCATACCTTAGAGAAGTCCTTGAGTGGTTCTGCCCTTCTTGAGTACTCCCCTCCCTTCTTCTGATGACCAAATAAATATGGGCGACCCAGAGAAGGTCCTGATCTTAGCCCTGAGAGAATTATGAATTCTATGAGAGGGCTCTGATCCTCCTGGAGCCCTGAAATCATTCCATTTGCCTCTTTTTATTTAGCCTTCATTATACACTCATTCAGGAGATTGTGGACCTGATCAGCTGGCAATGACTAAGGGATATTATTAACCCATATTAAGTATGAGAGTGAATGGCTTGATGGAATCAATCTATTGACTTTAGAAAATTGTCTTAGGTTTTACTTTTGAAAAAAGCTTTATTACTACACACTTGGAGCATGATGGATTGGCTTCTTAGAAAATTCAAATACTTTTACACATTTGTTTTGATGCAATGTCTTTGGCTTCCAATGAGAAACGCTACACCAAACAGCTTCAGTGAAGCCCTTATTTTACACTTGTGGGAGGGGATAAGATACACTGCCGTCTACCTCATCGTCAAGCCTCTCCTCTGATGCTCTTGCTGACATCTTCCCGGGGAGCTAAGTGGTAGGAAAGCTTCACCAGAGAAATCAGCATTTTTCTACACTTTGATAATAAGGGCCTTGTAGCAGTAGTTCCTTTTTCATTGTATCAGCAATCTCAAAACCAAAACGGAAGCTGCACAGACACTTTTAGCCCGCAGAGGTGTATTCTACTTTTTTCCCCCGATCTTGATTTTCCCTTTTGTTTCATATTTTCACTGATTCTAATTTTATCATGTACGTTTACTAAGAGTTGCCTTCTCATTTTGCAGATCATAGCCAGATAATTAATGTTAATCTAACATTAACAATGTTGTTCAATGGTGAAAAAATGGTCATTATAGTTAAGGTAACATTAAAAAAGTGGAAAAAAAAAGATCCCCTAACCCCTTCCTTAACTTCTCTGTCATCTGTAAAGAAGAGGATGGTAGATGCTTCTAGCCCTAATGATTCTGAATTAGACACATCTCATGTAAAAAGATTTTTTAAAAACAAGTGTTTCCCCTCTCTAAAAACCTCCAAAAGAAAATTTCCATTAAGAGTGTTACAGCTTGTATCTAGCTGTCAAAGCCTCATGCAGTCATAGGTGGGGCTTTTTTAGAGGTGGTTGAATCTAAAGTATGTAATCGATTCATGGTACAATGCTAGGATTAAGGGCGGGCGATTACTAAATCAGTGCACTGACTGCTTTGGTATCGCCCTAATCCCAGTAGCCTGGGTACAATATAAGGACAGAAAGAGGCTTGTCTCTCCTTTTGCTCTTATTGCTCTGCTATCTTCTGCTTGCCATGAACTGCTGCCCCTCTGCCATGTGCCACCCTGCCTTGGAGCCTGCCAAGTATGGACTGAAACTTCTATGAACTGTAAGCCAAATACACCTTCCTTCCTTTAACTTTGGGAGTCAGGTATTTTTGTGTCAGCAACAGGTAACTAAGACAATGAGATATGTGAAATGTTAAGCTATTTAAAATCTTATGTTTTATATTTAATGTTAATACAGTATTTTACCAGAGTCAGATAAATAACAAGAATATTCAGTACCTGCTGGTAAGCCATGTTGAGAAACAAGTATCTTTCTGATCTTCTCATTGGTAAGCAGAGGCTGTAGGCAACATGCACAACAGTGAAGAAAAAACTTAGTAGTCCCAGCTGTTTCCTACACTGTAACCAGGTCTCCAGCCAGGGTGGAAATCTCCTATACTTGGTGCCATAATAGAGCTGATAAGCAGCTGCCAGGAGGCCCGCTAAGTATACCAGGGACAGCAAAGTAATGGCGACTATGGGCAAAGTTTTGTTCACAATCTCAATAGGAATCTTGTAAAAGTCACTTTGCTGGCTTCTTGCATATGGATGGATCACGTCTCTGACAAAGGAGTAAAGAAAGAAAAATGTGGCCAAGCTTATGGCTACCACCATCGGCCCCCTCCAGAGGGTAAACAGTCGCAGGGGTAAATTTTCAATTTCCCTGGCTGACGATAATGATCCCAAGTCAACAGGAACAAAATTCAACTGACGGGCGAGTTCAATAACCTGCTGTCGAGCTTGGATATTGTTGCTGCATATATAGACCTGGGGGAAGACAAAACAGATGCATCGTTGCTATGTTGTTTGTAAAAATGGCAAATATTCTACACTCTACTTAAGTCTATGGTGCATCAATTGTGACTGCCTTGAGCGGTGTGCATGGTTAAAGTCGAGAAGATAGAGCATTTAGTAATTTATACACTTACTAATAAAATAATGTTCTAATAGCAAAAAAAGTCCTTGCCACTTGTGATGACATGAAAATAAAATGCAAGGAAATCTAGCTGCAGCATGGGATTTTATGACCTGAACGTGAGTGGTTATCAAGACCCTGGTAGACATCACCCAATGATACAATGCTTCCACTTGTTTTCTAAGAAGTCCAATAAACTATCTTTGTAGACAAAATCACAGCACTCAGGAGGCTGAGACAAGAGGATCAGCACAAGTTTGAGGCTAGCCTGGGCTACTTAGTAAGTTCAAAGCCAGCCTGAAATACACAGTGAGACCCTGTCTCAAACAAAACAAAGCAAAAGTTATGATCATGTTGAATTTTAGCATGCAAGCACACTTTTAGTGACTTTTAAGGTACACTGTTTTATGTGTTGCTGTACAGAAGCTCCTTCCATACACGCAGGGACAGATCTCCCCATCTGCTTCATTCTTAAGCTGAGTATGACAGGTACTATCGTGGGCTTTCGTGCCATAAACCTAAACAAACCCAAGAAATCCAGTTTGCCTCTACTTGCCCTACAGATTAACGCTGCTTAAAACAGACTGAGCTAGTTCATACTCTATGAATATTTTATCTGTGTAAAATAAAAAGGTTTTCCTAAAGCATTCTGCTTGAGAATCACATTAAACAGTATTTCATTCAGAGATAGTGTACCGTATGGGATACCAAGCAGTGGCACAGAAATCAAAAAGAGAAAAAGAAGAGAGGGAAGGAGATAGGGAGGGAGGGAAGTAAAGAAGGGCAGGAGGAGAGACTACAGTGTGTCATGTAATTCACCCGCCAGCTTTGCCTTTTCTGTAGTTGGTTATGACAGAAAAGCTCATGTTATTTTCTGTTTTCCACATTACTTTTAAATGTCTGATGTTTGCTTATCTACAAAAACGCCAGATAAATAGTAAAATCTAAAGCGACATACCTGGCGGCTGGCATCTTTCGGTCCTAACTGAAGTGCCCAAGCCGAGATGACGTTGAACCCTTTGACAACCAAGGAATCCGGGAATAACGAGGCCAAATATTCAGCATTGGATTCTGGGTACTGGTTTACTCTCATATTATTGCTCACGTCGATCAGGATTTTCCCCACGAGTAGATGTCTCAGGTCCCACAGGGAGGTGTAATGTTCTCTATGCAGCGCAACAAATATGATGTTTGTTTTCGTTAAAGCGTCTTCATGATGGGTGACATCTACCACGTGAGGAAAAAATTCAGATGCAAACTTAGGGTTTCTACTTCCTATGACTACGTGATAGCCACATCTAATGAGCCGAATGGTCAGAGATTTGGCAAAATCCCCACTTCCAATTACACCCACAGTGACTTTTCTTGCATCTTTGATACCATTTATGCCATTAGGCAAAAATGTTTCGCTAAGGCTCTTTGGGCTTCCCGTCATACAGATCGATTCCATGATACGAGCTCTTCCGAGGGTGACAAGAATATCCTAGAGGAGAGAACAAAAATGCTCACCAGTTATCTATTACCAAACATTCAAATACTTCTAGATGTTATAATTATGTGCTGTGTTTCTTGAGGTAAAATATTTTGGAACACTATGAAGTTATATATCCTAAAACACAAGACACAGTTTGTAAGCCAAAAAGGACCTCTAAATGGAAAAACTAACTTCACAAAGGTGCTCTGTGTGGGGCTTCTTGAGGCTTAATATGCACACAAATCACCTGGGAATCTTGTTAAAATGTCAGTCGTGACTCAGTAGGTTTCGAGGAGGCCCAAAGTTCTGCATTTCTTCCAAAGGTGGTGGCGATGCTGCTGGTCTGCAGGCCCTTCTTTGTCTTGCAAGTCACTAAAGCACAAAAGACACTGAAGTTCCCCAGCAGATCATATAGCAGCAAATCTGAAACACCACCAAAAGTACAGAAAATGACCTCGATACCAAGTCATAGGTCACAAAGCAAGCAGAAGATGAAAAACTGTAGAACAATCACTTAAAGTGAAACTGTCAAGTTACTTGGGTATTGTGGAGTCTCAAACTGTTCTGTATACCTGAGTAGCTACAGAATCTATTTTTTTTTTTTTTTTTTTTTTTTTTTTTTGGTTTTCTTCCGGTACCGGGAATCGAACTCACGACCTTGCGCTTGCCAGGCAGACGCTGTGCTGCTGAGCTAAATCCCCAGCCCCCATGGACTCTATCATTAAATAAAAGTGAGCTAAATCAACCAATACAAAAATTAACCCTGGCACTTAAATAATATTTTAAGAAAAACAGGCATCAAAATATAACAAAGGGTTAATTAAATACCACAGACTTCTATCAGTCTGTGTATAACTTTTCATTGAGAAAGAGCTTCCCTGAAGAAAAGGGTTTGGTAATGTGTTTATGGTCTTAAATTACACAAAACCTATGAAGTCTTCTCTATTTGCTGGCTGCAAAAACTATGACGCAATTACTCTTCCTGGAAAAAACTGTCGAATTGTTTTTACTTAAGTGACTAATATCTCCCATGTTCATATTTGTAATAACTTGGTAAAAAATACAAATCAGACTGCCATGCATCAGGCTGAATGAAAATACTATTCCAGTCAATCCCCAATGCACCATTTTGTTCATGCTCACAGCAGATGTAGATCACTTCAGAGGACCTAATGGATTTTATAGATGCAGGTGGAATGTTTTAGAAAAACACCATTTTTGCTAAACGAAATATGAAACTATTGGAGATAGGAAAATTCAGCTCTTTACCCTGGAAAGGGGTCACATTCAATGACTTCAAATACATCAATAAGTTAAACTTTAGAAACACAATACCAGCAGTAAATTACTTAATGCATCACATATACTATGTTTTAACTCCATCCCGTGCTTTACCGAATCCAACACCACCACCCTATGAGACACATGCTACTATCATCTCCATTTTGTGAGGTACTGAGACATACAGAAGATATTAATTTTCTAGGGTTCAAAGTGAGAAGGGAGGGAGAGTCAGGATTACAACTCAGGCAGTCCAAGTTGAAGCAGGTGTCACTGGGTGGATATAATGAATTTAAGAAAAGATTTTGTCAGAGTAGTACTCCACTGTGTATAAATACCATGGTTTGCGTATCCATTCTCTATTGATAGACATATAGAGACATATACATGCTTCCAAGATTTGGCTATTGTGAATTGTGCTGCTATAAACATGGGTATACATGGATCACTGGAATATGATGTCTTGAACTCTTTTGGGAGGGTACTTAGAAGGGAATAGCTTGACCAAATGAAAATTTCTAGTTCTACCTTTTTTTTTAGTACAGGGAAGCAAACTCAGGACCTTGCACCTGCCAGGCAGGTGCTGTGCTGCTGAGCTACATCCCCAGTCTCTAGTTCTAGCTTTCTGAGGAACCTCCATACTGATTCCCATAATGGTTGTACTAGTTTACATTGCCACCAACGGTGTAGAAGGGTTCCTTCATCCCTACAGCCTCTCCTCTCCAGCATCTGTTATTTGATTTCTTCATGAAGGCCATTCTCTCTGGAGTAAGGTGGGATCTCAGTGTTGTTTCAGTCTGCATATCCCAATGGCCAGAGATGCTCAACATTTTTGTCATGTTTTCATTGGTCACTTAGACTTCTTCTGAGAAGTGTTTATTCATTTAAGTTCTCATGTTTTGATTGGGTCTTACTTGTAGGCAAATAAATGCATCTTGAGACCAAAATGTTAAGTGAAATAAATCAGAGAAACAAGCTTAAATATCCATGGTTTTTCTTATATAAGAAACCCAAAATATAAATAAGAAGCAGAAATAAAAGAGAGATAAATGGAGGTAGATCTTTTGCAAATAGGAATGGGACCAAGAGGTAGAGGAAGAGGGGTAAGGAAAGGAGAAGAAGGGGATGAAGAAAAGAATTAAAGGAAGGATTCTGGGAGTGGCTGTGAGAGGCAAGATGGGAGAGTTATAACTATGCTCATATTAGTATATTACTAACATACTAACTAGTATATTAGTACTAATAATCCCTTGGCCATTTCATTGCAGCTTAGCATTATGCAGTGATCTTAATGTCTACCTTGGACCCTAGCAAATGGGAAAACTCGCCATTTCAAAACTTATTACATCTTTCCTTTCACATCTTTCAAGACAGAAGGGGTGGTGAAATACTTGTATCTGCTTTCCCTGCAGTGGCCCTATATACCCAGAAGGCCATGGGCTTCGCAGCACCAGAGTAGTACCAAACTGCCAACATTTTCCTGGAAATACTGTTGGCTATCTGGGGAATCAGGTGCAGTTAAAGGATCAAGAAGTTATGAAATCAATGTCCATCTCACTTAAAAATTAAGAGTGAAGTAACCAATTTACCTACTCCCAATCATATTCCTTATCTAAGGAAGAGAAAAGATTACTAGATTCACACACGGAAATTCATGTATCTTATGTCTCAGTGATGAATTTTTCTAACTATAAACTATAGCCTCTCTTGACGTATAACTGCAAAATCTTTACATCTGAATGACCATGATGATCACGACCTTTTCCAACTAAAAACTAAAATAATTATTGCTTATTTTACAAAGTTTAAACTCCTTCTGTAAATCAGAATATTAGACAAAATACATTAGAACCCAATAACATCACCTATAAGGCCCAATTAAACTATGTCTTTTATATATATTAATGGGGGGACTATGGTCTACCATGTTTGGACCTTACTCACATAGGATTCCTAATGGCAAGTTCTAACTGGACCCTTTAATAGTGTGACTGTGGCGAGGAATAAAAAGTGACCCAATAAATGAGACTTATTATACTTTTAAAGATTATAGAAGTATGAGAATATATAGTGTGTGTGAGACAGAAAGACAGAGAGAGAGAGAGAGAGAGACAAAGACAGAGACAGAGACAGAGGGACAGAGAGAGACAGTGAACAAAAATTTTAATGGCTTTCAAAGATGGCTTATTTACTGTTTAAAGGATATAATACCATATGCTTGTATGCTACTTCATAGTTTGTAGTGTTTTTATAGCAAATATTACCTTATTTAATTCTCAGATGTTGCAGAATACATATTATGACTACCTTACAGATGAAATAGAGGCTTGGAGAACTTCAGCAATTTGCCTCCGAGAGTGCAGTTTGAGTGATGCAGTGAGGATTCTACTCTCTGCTCATTCTGAGACAGAGCAAACATTATATGGAGAATCTTACACCTATGGAGCATCTTCAAAAGCCATGCATAATTATGTTTCCTATAATTACTAACTTTAAATGACCATGATGATCACAAACTTTTCCAACTAAAAGCTAAAATAAATACTATTGCTTATTTTACAAAGCAAGTTTAAAGTCCTTCTGTAAATCAGCATATTAGACAAAATATATTAGAACCCAATAACATCATCTATAAGCCCCACTTAAACTATGTCTTTTATATATATTAATAGGGGGTCTAATATGTTTGGACCTTTAAATAGTAAAATACAAATCTCATCTTAGGATAGAATTCCAGCTACAAAATAGGTAAAATATGGCTGAAATAATTCTTGCTTTTGGATGAGAGTCAATGATCTGAATTTATTAATATTATGAGACAAAACATGATTGCTACTGCGTAACTTTTGAAGAACTCCAGGTAGCAACCCACACGTGTTCTGGGGACTCTGTAGACATGATCTGGTGTGTCTTGCTTTTACAGGAAAGAAGAAAGCAACGAGAAGCATGTTCACGTCCTGCTGGACTCACTGATACCCAGATCTAAGAGCACCGTGCCACCCACCAACTATCTGGGGCTGACACAGTGCAGAAAAATCTCATCAATTTTCAATTTAGTCACTTAGTATTTTGGATTATTTAGTTAATGGCTGAGCTGAAGTTAACATTTGGGTCACCCATGAAAAATAAGGTTATAAAAGTGACTCGCCATCTGAAGGAGGCTTGTCTCCTTAAGAATACAAAAACCTTACATTGTACATTTCCTTTGACAAGAACTGATGCAATTCTAATCTCAAAAGAGATTGGCTCTGCTGTGGTCCAGCAGGAATTTATCTAGGCCACTGTGGGCTTGTACACGTGAGATAAAGGGCACACGAAGACAGCACTCACACTCAAAAATCTTACACTTTCATTAGGAAGAGACAGGCATACTTGTAATAAAAATAAAAACCTCATAAACGTATAATAAGGAATTCGATTACATGGTCACAGGATATCCTAGAAAATGAGAGAAGACAATATCACAGGTGTTGGTTCACTTTGAGTTATTCTTTCTTGTGTGTGTGTGTATGTGTGTGTGTGTGTGTGTGTGTCTAAAAGTAGTAAAATCATATTTACAAACTAATCGGTAGCTCACATAGAACTTCCATAGATCAATTTAATGACAGTGCATAGTGAATACAATCTTGCTTAAAACTGGAAAGCCCTGAAAGTAAACTTGCCTTTTTGTGATTTTACTTTTAAAAGTACTAGGGCACTGGTTCCCAAATAGAAATTTAAAAAATAGATGGAGAGTGGAGGAAGTTTTCCATAAAATGATTCAACTTAAAGAATCGTCCTTTCTTCTGAGATTGTGTCCTTCCTACTTTGGGCTGCCACAATGTTCTTTTTGTTCATAAAAGAGCAGCGATAACAGTTGTTTAAGTTGGCAATCCTATGGAGCGCTTTCCCTCTTTTTTATTTTCCTGGTCTGTAAATCCAACAAGTCTGAGGGCTATAATAGCCTTTAGAGAGCTGTCATAGCCTTTAGAAAGCTCTTTGACTTGTGGAGGGAAAGTCTGTCTGGTGGGGGAGGTCACCCTGCAAAGAGGTCCCTGCACTGCAGTATCTAATAGTCCGAGGATAGGAGCACATTCTGCAGATAAAATGTCTGTGTCCTGATCTCATGTTCAGTAACAATAAAGTGATTTTACTATTGCAAT